GTGTGTGTGTGTGTGTGTGTGTGTGTGTGTGTGTGTGTGTGTGTGTGTTTTCTCAGTGCTTGCCTAGGGCATGGCAGAGAAGCTTGCTACCGATGTTTATACTTCCTGATTTTGAGATGGTCTTAACAAATTGCACAGGGAGGCCTTGGGCCCACAGTCATCCTTCCTTGGCTTCCTGACTAGCTGGGGTTACAGACCTGTATCACCAGGCCTGGCTCAGTTATTTCTTTCATCAGGTAAAATTTCACCCCCTTACCCCTCAAAAAGAAGAGAACATAGAGATGGGTGTTATTTCTGGCATTGGGTTCTTGCTGGCTTTGGTGCTTATGTGTTTGTGTGCTTCTTCTGCTGTTGTACCTCTAACCAAAAAGAATTTTGATTTGCAGGGGAACTTACAAAGCACAGGCTAGGGCTGGAGAGATGGCTCAGCCATTAAAGGCTAGGCTCACAACCAAAAGTATAAGAGTTCAATTCTCAGCACCCATGGCTGTCTCTCCAGCCACCAAAAACAAACAAACAAACAAACAAAGCACAGGCTATGTGCTATTGACATTGTGGCTCCATAGTCTTATGATTTCTATGTAGAAAAACCAAAAACTGGATAGGAATATAGGAATATAATTTATTTTTTCCTTACCAATCACCACAAACCAATATCGATTCATACCTTGAAATTCTTTACCAGCAGACCTCTAACCTCAAAAAGCAAGCATTTGATAATTTCTGAATATTCAGTATTCTCTGGCAATATAATTACTAAAAAGTTATATTGCTGTATGCTCCCTGTGGCATTTTATATATAAAGTCTAGAGTAACTCTTGGTGAATTATGATTCTTATTTGAAAACAAAACAAAGCCAAAAAAAAAAAAACCTTTCCAAGTAAAAGAAAGAAAGTCATTATTTGATAGATTTCTCTGTCATTGAAAGTCAAGTGGAAAAAACTGAAATTCCTTTCCCTTTTTAAGAAGACAAAAGCTGTCAGTGGCATAAAGGGGATTTTGTTGTACTTCATGCAACATAAAATTGAGAAAGACTTTTTATAATTTCATGCTGTAATTCTAGACATTGTTATGCCAAAACTGTCAATTAATTATGTTTATAAATATCAGGAAGTATATGTGTAGGTTTTGCTATAATGTCCATTGTGCAAACATTTCCCTCACAGTATTTACTGATTAAATATCATGAAACATGGGGAACTATAACTAAAATTATATAGGCTGAGGGGATATCACTAAAGATTAAATGATATTTCATATTAAAACCTTTGGGTCTCTATGCCTACAATAGAACATTTAAAGTATATTTTAAGAGAAATCACAAGCTACACATTAAAAGTCCAGTAAAAACCTGGGACTTTATTCCCAGCAGTTAGGAGGCAGAGGCAAGGTGAATCTCTTTGAGTGTGTGGCCAGTCTGGTCTATACAGAGTTCTAGGCCAACAAGAGCTACATAGTGAGACTCTGTCTCAAAAAACAACAAAAGTACAATAAAAGAAGGTTAGGATAAATTCATATTGTCTCTAAGAGAAATACATCTCAACATTTTAAAGTTTTAGATCATGGCAAGCAGCATTCATCTCCATACAGAGTGTCTGGGTGGAGCCCTCCTGTGATCCTGTGTCACACTCTGATTTTTCTTTGTCATATAGCTCTTCTGCCTTTTCTGTGGTCTGGTGTCAGTCAGTATTAAGCATTGTTCTGACAAGACCAGAAAAGGTCTTGAGCAGAATCTTCCAGTGTAGCTTAGCATAGGTGTGGAAAATGACCAGCTCTCAGTCTGCTGGCAGTGAGTAACATAAAGTTACCTTTGTCTCATAAGCAAAATAATCATTATTCCTGCAGGGATCTGTTTACCACATAACTCTGATTCCTATTTGTTATTCCGTTTTAATAATCCTCAAGCAAAAGACTGAAGGGTTAGTCTTTCATCTTGAATAATACATTTTCTCTGGTAGATAGAAACATTTTTAAAATCAGGGTTGTTTTGTTTTCCTGAAGTAAATCACTTTCTTTGAGGGAACCTCCAACCCCACTAAATTGAAGGTATTTTAGAATAGACTTGTTGAGAAATCCTCATTCATCTTTGACCTATTTTATTCTTGAAAAGTCCAGGGGTCTTTTTTTAATTTGGACGTTTTTTAAATTCCTACTTGTTATTTACTTATTCCATGACTTCCCTAAAATGAGATTGTAGACGTCACACAGTTCCTTGTTTCCATAGATGATAAGCCATGAGTATTTACTAGGCATCTGTACAAACTGGGGCAGCTGAGCTTGCTTCTTTTCTTCCCCCTTATACTGTCCTAGCTCAAGAGTTTTGTTTGCTATCTTATTTTTTAATACCATGCTTAGAACTGTATTTTGGTTAAAGATACCGAATTTCCCATTTAAAAAACAATTGTTTATCCTTTAATCTGAGCACTAGGGAGGCAGAAGCAGGTGGATCTCTGTGAGTTCCAGGCCATCCTGGTCTGCACAGTGAGTTCCAGGACAGCCAGGGTTACATAGTGAGAACTTGTCTCAAATTTAAAAGAAAGGAAAAAGGAAAAAGAAAACTGTTTCAGAGTGTTGGAATGACTTGAGTTTTCTGTAGGTGCATGCGTATATGATGCAGTATGTTTTTAGGATTGAAATGTCTCTAATTTAATATAAATTTAATTTATAGCCCAGTCAATTGAACAAAGACTGATGAAAATGGATCACACTGCAATCCACCCACATCTACTTGATATGAAAATTGGTCAAGGGAAATATGAGCAAGGGTTCTTTCCAAAGTTACAGTCCGATGTCTTGGCAACAGGACCAGCCAATAACAAGTAAGCATGCATTTTACTTATGATTAGTGGAATGAAAGAAGGTTCTACAGTGTTAACTAGGCACTGTGTGAACATTAAATATCTTACGTGTTTATATCTTTTGATCTACCATATTAATCTAGATTGAATTGACTTTTAATTCTGTTAGGTAAAAGACTCTAAAGACCAGTTGATTTTTGTTTTGTTTTGTTTTATAAAACTGTAAATAGGCACATCTGGTTTGTTTTTTTGTTTTGTTATTGTTGTTGCAACTGAGCTGGAATTCAGTATTTAATTTAAACCCTGCCTCAAACACATGAACTGCAAATTACTTTTCATGAGTCCCTTCCCCATCCATGCTGGAAAGTTGACTGGCTTGTTCTTATGCAAGCAACCACTATAGTCGCTGTGAGTTCATTTATGAAATGGCCCTGTCTTGGATGGAAAACAGTTAAACAATAGTCCTCCTCGACCTCTGGCTCTTAAAAACTTTTCATTCTCCCCTCCCTCCCTCCCTCCCTCCCCCCCTCCCTCCCACCCTCCCTCTCTCCCTGCCTCCCCCCTCAACTCTTTTGGTAGGTTAATTGGCTGGCTGGCTGGTTAATTTTTCAAGACATGCTTTCTCTGTATAGCCTTGGCTGTCCTGGAACTCCCTTTGTAGACAAGGCTGGCATCGAACTCACCTCAGTGAGTCTACCTGCTTTTGCCTCCCAGCACTGGGATTAAAGGGGTGAACCACCCCTGCCTGGTTCATTCTGTCACTTACAATGATCCCTGAGCCTTTCGGTGACAGGGAGCTGAGCACAATTCTCATAATGCCTTTGTTTCTAGAGTGGAGGGATTGCAGATGTGTGGTACCACACATGTTTTATATAGTGCTGGAGATGAAATTGAAGGCTGTGTTCATGCTGGGTGAGAATTCTACCAACTAAGCTACATCTCTAGATCTCTCACTTTATTTTTCTTTTATTTATAAAATGTTCTGATTGTTTGAATCACTTTGATATAACTGAGTATCCTGTTGTGCTGACAGTTCTTGTTTCCCTTTGATAGCATTGTATTTTATTATTATTATTATTATTAATAATTTGGTAAGTATTGGTGGTACCACTAGTATATATGAGGACTGTCCTGGTTAGAGATTTAACAGTGAATCCAGCTTGGTGGTACAAACCTGTAATCTTAACATTTGGGTAAGTGAGGTGAATTCAAGGCCAATCTGGGCTACATAGAAAGACTGTTTTGGGTGGGCGGGTTACAGAAGAGCTAATGTAACAAGAGGTGGGCATATTATTGCAGATTTAACAATGAAATGAACATAACAACATTAAAAGCAAGCTTGTAGCCTGATGCAAGTGCTGTTAGCTCCAAGCTCTCTTGCCCCAGTAATTTTCTTTTTTCTTTTCTTTTTTTTTGTTTTTGTTTTGTTTTGTTTGTTTGTTTGTTTGTTCGAGACAGGGTTTCTCTGTAGCCCTGGCTGTCCTGGAACTCACTCTGTAGACCAGGCTGGCCTCGAACTTAGAAATCCTCCTGCCTCTGCCTCCCAAGTGCTGGGATTAAAGGCGTGCTCCACCACTGCCTGGCTCCCCAGTAATCTTCTTAAACAGCATTCATTCCCTGTTTTTGAAACAAAATTATATTTTTTCATATTCTTAGTGTTTATTTGCACCACAATGTCTATTAACCCTAATTTGTTTTGAGAAGATTATTTCATATTTTTCATTGATTAGTTAGTTTAGTTTTGGGTTTATTGAGACTAAATCTTATCAAGTAGTTTAGGTTGGCCTACAGTACATACATTGTCCTCTTGTCTCTACCTCCCAAGAGATAAGATTATAGACATGTGCCCTGTGCCTAGATTAACCCCCCTCATTTTTTCAGTCCCTGTGAAATTTGTATTAGCAGCTATTTTTGTGGGAGTACTATTTCTCCTTTTTAAGATTACATTTATTAGGGGGAATGCATATGTGCCATGGTGCACATACAGCGAGAGACCAGAGGACAGCCTTTGGGAGTCAGCCCTCTCACTTCAGCAGGTCATCAGGCTTGGAGGCAAGCTCTTTCACCCACAGAAGGATCATGACTTTCAAGGCCTCTGTGCCAAGATCTGCACTTAGGCCTTTGTACATTTTCTCTATTAATTTATGTTCTAGTTTTTGTGAGCTGTTTATGCCATGTAGCTTTTATAAAAATAAGCTGTAGAAATTACATGTTGTCGTACATTCATCAGTTGAGTGGTAGCCCTTAAGAGTGAAATGGAGAGTTTTGAGAATAAAGAGTTGATGGAGGGCACAGGAAGATGTTCGTGGCATAAAGGAAACGGGGAACTGGTATGGCATGAGACTAAGGGATCAAGGACGGTTTTCCCCAAGTCTGGGCTCTATTGAGCAAGGTTGGAAGGGAGAGGGTCATTACAGAGGAAAGGGCACTAGTTTTAGGGTACTTTGTATGATTTTTCTTGAGTCTTAGGCCAGAACCAAAAGAAAAAGAAGCATATGAGGTCTGAACATGGGAATCAAATTACAGAAGAGCTAATGTAACAAAAGGCGGGCATTCACACATTAGATGGGAATGTTTAAGATTTCTGAAGTTGGGCTAGAGAGATGGTTCAGGAATTAAGAGCACTGGCTGCTCTTTTGAAGTACCTGGGTTCAATTCTCAGCAACCATATGGCAGCTCACACCTGTCTGTAACTCCAGTTCCAGAGGACCCAATAGCTTCACACAGACAAACACACGGGCAAAACACTAATGCATGTGAAATAAAAATAAATTAAAATTTTTTCTAATTTAAAAAAAAGGTTTTCATAAAATATCTTATAATATAGGCCACCATTTTATAGAAACACAATCATACAATTTTAGAACCAGAGTAATCACATTCTAGCTCTCTGACATAAAAGGAACTTAGGTTTAGAAAGTATATAACATTTAGTACCTTTCTTTTTTTTTTTTTTTTTTTTTTTTTGGTTTTTCAAGACAGGGTTTCTCTGTGTAGCCCTGGCTGTCCTGGAACTCACTCTGTAGACCAGGCTAGCCTCGAACTCTTGAACTCAGAAATCCGCCTGCCTCTACCTCCCAAGTGCTGGGATTAAAGGCGTGCGCCACCACCGCCCAGCAGTACCTTCCTTTTAAAATTTCAATTATTTATTTATTTTTTAAATGTTTGTGTGCATATGTCTGTGAGAGTATGCCCCATGTGACTAAAGATCACTGGAAACTAGAGTTACAGGTAGTTGTAAGCTGCTCAAGGTGCTGGAACCACATTCCAGTCCTGGAGGAGCAGCCAGAACCACACTCCAGTCCTGGAGGAACAGCCAGAACCACACTCATGTCTTGGAAGGGCAGCCAGGGCTGACCTATATCTCTTCAATTATTAATCTCAATTTTTAAAAAGTGTTAGTTGTGGTGACAGTTGTGAATATACCAAAAACCCACTAGACGAGTGTTTTGAATGGATAAATTAAATGGTGTCTGAAATTATAAGTTTAAACATATTTTGAAAAGAATTGATTGGAAGAGCTGGGTATGGTAGCACAAGAGACAGGAGGATCATGATTTCAAGTCCAGACTAAACTTCACAGCAAGACTGTCCAAAGAAAAAACAAGCAAACCAGAGAAGAAGAAGAAGAAAAAGAAAAAACAGCTGTTCCCAGCCTTTTGTGCAGAATAGTTCATTCTTTCTGTTTCCAAAAAAATCAAATTCCATGTCTTTTTATTTGGCGATTTTTTTTAAATCCGCATTGTCTTGGGTATATTTACTTTCTAGTCGCTGGGTGAGTCGAAGTGCCACAGCTCAGCGCAGGAAAGAGCGCCTTCGCCAGAGCTCTGAACACATTGGGCTGGACAGTGACTTACGGGAGGTATGTGGTCTGGCTGTCTGGGATACCACGATGCAGAGGTCAGAGAACTCACCAGGAGGTGTCATTATGCATAATCTTTCAAGTTCTTTTTAAAAGCAATTCATCTAGATTTTAAAATATTATTTTTGAATTGACGTGTAGCAGAAAACACTTTTCCAATTTTATCCTTTTATTCATCTAAAATAGGGCTTTATTTCTGTGTGTTAAACCATGTAGAAGCTTTGTTTAGGGTAAATTTTTGGTCATTAAATTTTGGTCTCCTGAAGGGAAAAATATTGAGGTGCACCTATATCTAAGTTTCAAATATAATTTAGGCTGGGTAAGTAACGATACATTAACATATTCTTTGTCCTTAGTTTGCTGACCCCATTTTTAGATATACTAGACCTGTTCTTAGATTAACTATGCTCTATCTGTATTCATTGAAAATAAAATTCAAATTATGTATAAATAATGATATTTTGTTTCTTGTAATGAAAAGAAAATGCAATCAGAATTTCTGTTAACTCTTTTACGAGCTCAAATGTGTAGAAAAATAACAGAAAGCACCATTCCAAACCTCACTTTCTGTAACTTGTGTTCGTACATGTGTGATTTTTAAGCTTTTTCTTAAGAGCTGAAGCCTTTCCTGTTCATTGCCTCTCCTTTGCTGCCCCGCCCATTATCATCATATCATGTGCATGCAGGTTTTGCTTCTCTTTCTGTCTTTGCTTTCTTTTTTTTTCTTTCTTTTCCTTTTTCTACTTTTCTGTCATTGAAACGTCGCCATCATTTTAGCCTTCCGGGGAACTTTTGGTCTGTCAGAACTCCATGGCATTCTGGGAGTGGGATCAGGGCCCAACTCCTCCTGCACGGCTTCCTAAAAAGTCCTTCTCTGAATGCTGCCTGGTATGTCCTTTGCCTTGAAAGTGCTTCACAAGATTGCTTGAATGGCCCACACATAAGAGTGCATGTGGCATGTTTGATCTCTGCTTCATTTAGCCTATTTGCGCCTGTTTTTGCTGAATTGTGCTCACACAAGCAAGTCTTATCATGTTAACAGTAAAACTGGCATTCAACTGCTTAGTCTTTGAGGGTGTATGTATATATTTGTGTGTATGTGTATTTATGTGTGTGTATATTTACATGTATATCTATATATCCTCTGTAACAAATTGCTTTTCTTAAGTTGAAGAGGAAGGAATGTATTATAATTCTTTCTTATTTTAAGCATTTTTTTTTACAAGTGCAAAAGTGGCTGAATATCAGCTTTTCTTTTGCTAGATGTTTGTCTCTGTCATGTTTTAATTTAATCTCCTGGTCTACATTTTGTGTTTCAGAAAACTCACTCATTGTCATAGAGTATTAGTGCTAAGAGGAACCTTTGAGGTCTTCTTGTCTAACTTGACATAATTTAGCTGACAAGCAAGAAATTTGCCCGCAGTTAAATGGACATACAAAGGCAAGGCTGAGCCTGTAACACAGGACTCCTAATGTCCAGGCTCAGTCTTTTTTCATTAATCATGCATACCAGTCTGCTCTAACCACTGCTAACCTGAGGGTACAAATACTCTGGCTTACAACGTTTTCCTCATTGTGTTAGTCCTTTACATTTACAATAGTCTGCTCTTTAAAGAGCACTTAGTTCAGTGTTTATTGAACAACATTGCAATTTCATATGTATTTCCTAATGGCTTATTGCTTCATCTTTGGTTGTTGTCTTTTCTGGGTGGTGGTGGTGGTGGTGGTGGTTGTTGTCGTTGTCATTGTTTTGAGACAGGACATCAACCAGATTATTGACTGGCCTCAAATTCACAGAATCTACATGCCTCTGTTTCCTGTGATCTGGGATTAAAGGTGTACACCACCTCACCCAACTATTTTGGGTGTTTTTGCTCTGTGTGTGTGTGTGTGTGTGTGTGTGTGTGTGTGTGTGTCTTTCTGTCTGTCTGTCTTATGTGAATGACACATGAATACAGTGCCCTCAGAGGCCAGAAGAGAGCTCAGAATCTCTTGTAGCTGTAGTTTCAGGCATCGTGAACTGTCCGAAGTGGGTGCTGGGAACCAAACTCAAGTCCTCTGTGAAATCAGTATACACTCAGTACCACAGACCCATCTCACCAACCCCACCAACTCAGTTTTTATATGGTGCTGGGGCTCAAATTACGGTTTTGTACATGCTAGCCAAGCACTCTACAATTGAGCTACACTTTCAGTGGGAAAAACTCTTTAAACATTAAAAATTTATTTTTACCAATTTTTATATCTAGCTTTTGACACTGTCCCCAAATAAAATATAATTCTTATATAGGGATGCTGCCTTGTAGCTCAGATTGATTTTTCTGAAACTGATTTTATTTCCTACATTTACTTACTTGAAAATTAACTTTCAGTATGTATCTATGCCCATTGCTACATTTAAATGCCCTACTGATAACAGTTTTCTCAATCTCAATTCTTCCCCCCACCCCTTTTTCATTTGAATAATATTTAAAATAGATAAGTACACATAGGTGCTGAAGAAACTGCTACTTGGAGAATTCATTTGCTTTCTCAGTGATTCTTTAAATTATTAGACTGGGAAAAGGCTATATCACTTTGCTAATATTGCCTTTTGTCATAAACATTGAGAGAAACTGATCACTTAATCAGTAAGATTTTCAGCAGCTTTAACAGGTCAATTTTCCTCTAAAAGGGAAACAAATTCTCATACATCTAAAGAATGTGAAGTAGTTTACATATCATCAGCTTCTCATCAGATTTTCCCCTTAAGATAATAAGGGTGGATTTACATCTGTTCCTGTGGATGTTCACTAGCTTGCAATCTCTCTCCCACAACAAAGTACTAGTTTTACTATATGATTTAGAGCAATTCTTCAAAAATGTAGTTTTTTTTTTTTTTTTGGTTTTTCAAGACAGGGTTTCTCTGTTCTCTGTGTAGCCCTGGCTGTCCTGGAACTCACTCTGTAAACCAGGCTAGCCTCGAACTCTCCAACTCAGAAATCCGTCTACCTCTGCCTCCCAAGTGCTGGGATTAAAGGCGTGCACCACCACCACCCGGCTCAAAAATGTTGTCTTAAAATAAGACACTGGGATCTTTTGGAGATTATGCCTTGTCACCTTGATGCAAAAGTCTAGATGAGGTTTTTCAGGTAGCATACAGACACAGAGAACATAGTTCTCCACTAACAAGGTGTGTGTGTTTGGGGGGGGGAGGCAGTGTTCTGTTTGCTTGCTTGCTTGTTTACTATTATGGTTTTGAGACACGGTCTTGAGTATCTCAGCTGGACTCAGAGCCAGAGAGAGAGAGAGAAAGAGAGAAAGAGAGAGACAGAGAGAGACACAGAGAGAGAGACAGAGAGAGAGAGACAGAGAGACAGACTCTGGACATAATACTAGGGATTATAGAACAAAGCAGGGGAAGGTTTTATGCAAACATTTTAGAGTCCTCCCATCCACCTCATCCCAGCCCCATGTTAGAAGCACAGGATGCTTTTCAGCCATTTCTGTGAGCTAGATAGCATGCACCAAACAATGAGATTCATCATCATTAGACATTAGCTGATATGAGTGAGGTCATAAAAATTAGCTACAACACAGTTCTGGTTACTCAGAGCTAAGGGTCTGTCTGAAGAATAATGCCCTTGATGACTGAGGAATTTAAAGTCTCTGCTGAGAGGAGTAGAACAGAGGAAGTCAGTGAACTGAGAGCCATTCCATTTCTGTGGAACCTCAGACTAGACTAGACACCCAAAGATTTTTTCTCTTACCTTGATCCTAACTAATCATCATTCTGGTGGTCCCATTAAAAAGACTAAACTCAATGAAACTCCTGATTTTGAGTGCATTTCAGCTTAATAAAGTTTCTGTCACTCTCCTTTCACAAGAGTTAACTGGTTTCAGGAAGAGTACACACGTTCTCTGCCTTCTATCAAGAGCACTAAAATCTTAGTCGCTGTTATACACATATACTTACAGCTTTCTTTTACATCTTGCTTGTATTTGTATGTGTGTGTAAGTTATAAGTAGAAAAGAATATATGGTGTTAATACATTAAAATATTCCTGATTTTTAGAAATATATGCAAGAGGCACGAAGTTTAGGGAAAAACCTAAGGCAACCAAAACTGTCAGATCTCTCACCTGCTGTGATTGCACAAACCAACTGGAAATTTGTAGAAGGCTTACTAAAAGAATGCAGAATGAAGGTACGTATTCTGCTGCCAGGAAGTGTGTGTTCATGTTTATACTGTGTGTGGATCTAAGATGGGATGAGCCAACCCCATTTGTGCCTATAACTTCTCTAAAAAGAGTTTATTATTTTATTTTTGTATGAGCATGGGTGTTTTACATGTATGTATGTCTATGTACTACATGTGGACAGTGCCCATAAAGGCCTAAAGAAGGCATCAGATCCTCTGGGACTGGAGTTACAGGTGCTTGTGAGCTACCATGTGGTACTGGGAATCAAACCTAGGTCCTCTGCAAAAACAGCCAGTGCTCTTAACCACTGAGCCACCTCTCCAAGCTTCCCCCAAAAAACTTTTTTGTGGCATAGACTTAATATGCTCTTCACTGAAGTCATGAACCTTCATGAAGTCTCCATGGCCCATAGCATCAGTGATATAGGAGCCTTGGGGATGTGTGTGTGTACACATAGAAGTCAGAGGACAACGGAGTCAGTTTGTACTATTCACCTCATTTTGAGGCAGCCTCTTTCTTGTTTCTTGCCACTACTTTGGCTTTTTCAAAATAGCAGGCCATGAACTTCATCCCAAATCTTACATAGCAGCACCAAGATTGCAGATGCGTGTCAGCTGTTACATGTGTTCCCAGGGTCTGAACTCAGGTGGTCAGGCATATGTAGCAAGCACTTTTACTCACAAACCATCTCTCCAGCCCTTAGCTATTGTCTTCCTCTCATCATGATGTTAAGCCACTCATAAGTTATATGAAGAATGTTACTCTTATGTGAAAGGCAACATGTTTTTGTACCTATGTATATACCCGTATAAAGCCTTGCTTGTGCTCATACATGTGGTATGTGCTTAAGGGAATAAATCTTAACTATGTCATAGGTCAGTGAATATTACATATAATTCTCTCACAAAACTGCATTTATATGGGTAGCTTGTGGTCATATTCAATAAAAGCACTATTTTCAATGTCAGTGTAGTCTAGTGAATTAGACAAGGTCCCACCTAGAACTGTATGCTTTCTCACTTTATGTGTGAGAAAAGCTTAGGTTGAAAACCATCTACCTGAAACTGGTTTTCGGTATTTTAGTACATCATTGTGAGCAAAAAAGAGAGAAAGGGGAGGCAGTGGTCTTAGTTCACATACAAACTAGGAAGTTCTCAAAAAAAGAAAAACAAGAAAATGGAAGGAAGGGAAGGGAAGGGAAGGGAAGGGAAGGGAAGGGAAGGGAAGGGAAGGGAAGGGAGGGAGGAAGGAAGGAAGGAAGGAAGGAAGGAAGGAAGGAAAAGAAAGAACATTGAGCCACTCATTTCTGTTGTAGTTTTGGCTTAAGTATCAATATCTTTAATTTGCCAAATGCTAGAGTCAACAAAGGGTAAGATACGGTGACAGAATGAGGTTCTGGTGTCAGGCAGTGCATTTTCTAGATTCAAGGCAATTTCAGAAGTTCAAGATACCTATACTGTTATAGAAGTTAGTAATCTAAATTATATGTAAGTATTTTTTCAACATGAGAGTGCCTTACACAATATTATTTTATTGTTTCATTAGTGCCCTTCCATTTCTCTGACATGATAGTAAAATATAGAATAGTGAAACATAAAATTACTCCAGCCATCTGACCACCAGATTAAGACATTGTGACTGGAAAATCTGTAATTAGAATTGCAATGAAGGGAAGCTAGATCTAGAATTGATTCCTTGGTTTTGAGTTTCAGTGCTGTGGCAATTTTATAAGCACACATAATGTTTTTAGACAAAACGCATGTTGGTAGAGAAGATGGGACATGAAGCAGTGGAACTGGGCCATGGAGAAGCAAACATTACTGGCTTGGAAGAGAACACCTTGATCGCCAGCCTGTGTGACCTACTGGAGAGGATATGGAGCCATGGCTTACAGGTCAAGCAGGTAACTGACTGAGGAGGTGCTGCTAACATCACCGCTTGAGGGACTTCCTCATGTCAAGGGGCTGGTCAGGGAATCACACATCTTTAATCCCAGCACTGAGGAAGCAGAAGCGGGTAGATCTCTGTGAGTTTGAAGCTAACCTGGTCTACATAGGGAGACCCTGTCTGTGGGGAAAATTTAGAGGCCGCCACAGTGGTGGGGGCCCGGAGGGGCTTCCATGCTGTGGCGGGTCCCACATTCAGGAGGAACCCTATGGTTCCAGCAGCCTAGAGGCTTTGGCGGTGGCAGGCCCCAATGACACGAGGAAGTCCTTGGTTCCAGAAAGGTTTATTGTCATGGCGGATGGTGGATGGATCTAGGCGTACCCCCCAGAACTCAGGGCAGTCCTGAGTTATATAGGGAGGGAGAAAGGGGAAGGATTGGGGGAGGATCTGGGGGAGGAATGCTTAATTTGCTCTGCCCTCTGGCCTTCATTAGTATGTAAATCCCTAGGGCCTGAGGCCTATAGTCTGGCCTATGTGACTGAACAATGTAATTCTATGAAGACATGACTGCTTTTCAGGACCCTGGATTCTGGGGGGCACCAAACTCCTGCCGGTACTCACGCAGAGTCTCGGGGTCTAGGCACCTGCTCAACCATGACCCAGGATACCCTCACGCAGTCCCACACCTGTCCTAAAAAAGGAAAGAAGCCCAAGCAATGGTGATGCATGCCGTTAATCTGGGAGGCATCAGCAGGCAGGGGTTAGCCTGGTCTACAGCCAGGGTTACACAGAAACCTTGTCTCAATTTAAAAAAAAAAAAAAAAAAAAAAAAGGAAGGAAGGAAGAGACTGGCAAGATTGCTTTGCTCAGCAAGTAATGGTGCTTGCCACCCAGTAATCTGAGTTTGACCTCTGTAACCCACATGGTAGAAGGAGGAAAGTAACTCCTGAAAGCTTTCCTCTAATATCCACACATGAGTGAGAAACGTGACCGGATGATTAGATCATAAGCCATTCAATTCCATCAAAAGAAACAATCTAGGACAGACATAGTGGTATGTACCTTTAATCTCAGCACTTGGGAGACAGAGACAGGGATAGGCTGTTCTACAAAGTAAGTTCCAGGACAGCTAAGCTTACACAGTGAGACTCTGTTTCAAAACAGAAAAGAAGGGAGGAAGGGAGAGGAAGGGGAAGGAAGAAAAAGAGAAAATCTGTGATCAGGAAGGTGGGGGCAGGAGAAGAGAAAAGAAAAAGAAAATCTGGGCTGGAGAGATGGCTCAGTGGTTAAGAGCACTGACTGCTCTTCCAGAGGTCCTGAGTTCAAATCCCAGCAACCACATGGTGGCTCACAACCATCCGTAATGAGATTGGATGCCCTCTTCTGGTGTGTCTGAAGACAGCTACAGTGTACTCATAAATGAAATAAATAAATCTTTAAAAAAAAAAAAAAAAAGAAAAAAAAAAGAAAAAGAAAATCTGTGATCAGGAAGATCTTTCCTAACAAACAAGTATAAAACTGTACATGTTACGCAGTTCTTTTTTTTTTCTTTTTTTTCTTTTTTTTTTCTTTTTTTTTTGCATTCCTGGACACCCCAGTATTATGCTGTGTGTTCAATAAACTGTTCTTGTTTAACTGAGATCAGTATTTGGTTTGAGTGGCAATTCCTGAACACCAGGAGTTACAAAAATTATATCTTCCCTTGATTACAGTAAATATCTACGTTTGTCCAGATGTTTGTTTGTTTGTTTGTTTGTTGTTTTTTGTTTTTCGAGACAGGGTTTCTCTGTGTAGCCCTGGCTGTCCTGGAACTCACTTTGTAGACCAGGCTGGCCTCGAACTCAAAAATCCACCTGCCTCTGCCTCCCAAGTGCTGGGATTAAAGGTGTGCACCACCACCACCCGGCCCGGATTTTTGTTTTTTTTAAATGTGCTAACTGAGCTGGGTGTGGTAGTGCATGTATTTAGCTCACTGTCGTGGGGTATTCGGATAAGACTACTTGGACATGGTTTAAGCCAATAGAAAGTCTTTCTTAGCCAGTCTTTCTTGACTATAGTGAAGGATCAGGATCCTACTATAAACCCGAGCCTTTCTCAGTGAGCTTTTTTTTTTGGGGGGGGGGGGCAGGCAGAGGGAGGTGAGACAGGGTTTATCTTTATAGCCCTGGCTGCCCTAGAACTCACTCTGTAGAACAGACTGGCTTTGAACTCAAATCTGCCTGTCTCTACCTCCAGAGTAATGGAAGTAAAGGCATGCAGCACCACCGCCTAGCTTCAGGGTGAGCTTTTAAGCACCAAATCCATGTCCTGGGTTGACATTACTTTGGTTAACAAGCAGTTAGACAAAAACAGAACTACAGAAACCAAAAAGCAACATTAGTTCATTCAAAGACTTTCCCATATCTATGGACTTTATTGGATTAGGTCTTTGTTTTAGTTTTGGCAGGTCATGCTATCTAGATACTGAGAGTTTTACAGGCTGAATGGCACTTTCATCATGGAGTCAGTTGTGCTAAGATATGGGGCCTACTAAGTTCTGGGGCCTACTACATTACATTCCCCCCTGGTCTTAGTGAAACAGTCAAATCACAGACCCATTCTGTTTTAGTTTAAGATGCAGAGCCCCACTGTTAAACCACTCAGAATGAGAATTAAAGGCCAGTCAGTGCTGAGAGCAGAGTAGTTAGCCAGGGGGACCAAGAGAATAGAGACTAGTACCAATTATTTTCCATCAAAAGACATTCCCTGGCCGGGCAGTGGTGGCGCATGCCTTTAATCCCAGCACTTGGGAGGCAGAGGCAGGCGGATTTCTGAGTTCGAGGCCAGCCTGGTCTACAGAGTGAGTCCCAGGACAGCCAGGGCTACACAGAAAAACCCTTTCCCAAAAAAACAAAAAAAAAAAAAAAAAAAAAAAAAAAAAAGACATTCCCTGATTACTCCTGATAAATTAGCATAAAATCAACACATTTTTTCCAAAGCCATACATAGTTTTCTTTATCTCACAAGAAGTCTAAGCCTCTCCAGTTTTGTAGGACCATTTCTACAAGGGACTCTAACTCTTGTTTTAATTCAGAAATAGAAACTTTTGGTACCTCTACATCCTGATTAACCTGTCTACTTAGTTGGAAGGCATAAGAAGCACATTTACCAGGCAGAGGTGGTATCTGCCTTTAACCCTAGCACTGGGGGGAGGGGAGGCAGAGGCAGGCAGATCTATTTGAGTCCAAAGCTAGACAGTCTACAGAGTGAGTTCCAAGACAGCCAAAACTACACAGAGAAAAACATTAAAAAAAAAAAAAAGAGGCCCATTTAGTCAAACCATTAGTACATGCCCCGCCCCAGTAATATTGTTGTTGTCCATATGAATTAACCCATAAGACAGAATACCAGGAATCAGAATAAGGAAAAGTGCATACGTTAATTTAAAAGTTTTGGATACTAGACAAGTTGTAGCCCCTTATAAGTCCTCAAACATTAATTTGGGCTGTCCCCAGTCACTATGAGTTTTGTCAGTCAGTGATTGACAGTCTGGTTAGTTCCTATCCCTATGTAGTACATGGGCTGGGTATCTAAGCATAACCAGCAAGCCTGGCTGATACACTATCCCCAGAGTCCCTTCCTGTGGAACAGAGTCTGTTTCCGGTTTTCCAAGGGGCAGAATCTTTCAAAAGGAATTTTTCAGGAAGCTTCAGTTTTATAACTCCAGTTTTTGCAATGGAAACTCTTTTGTTTCCGGTAATTAGGGGGCCTAGCTATAGGACATGCACAGAATTGCAAACTCTATATTTTTATCTCAAAAGATGATAAATTTTCTTATCTTTTCATTCCTCTATACAATCAGACACTTAAAGTAGGCATCAGCAAGTAAGGTCAAGATAGAATATGGGTTGCTGGTCTATAGTCACACCATCTTCCATATGTCTGTCGTCCTTGGTTTCCAGTCCAGGCCTGAGGGCAGTGAGGGGGCTAGACCATGACCCTCTATTCATATCCCTAGTGGAAAACACAAGGCTCAGGAGGAAGTGGAGGGCCAGGGAGTAGAAGGGCCTGAGGACTCAATGAAACCTTAATTTCAATGGACCCCTAGTCCAGAGACTGTTCATTTGGCAGCATCAGTGGCTTCCATTTTGTTGACCTGGTTCTGGTAGATTCATGTGGTAATACCTACCAACTATCTTCACTGCCGTAGCAGTGGAGAAAATCACCATGTTAAATCTGTTCCACGTTGGTTTCAGCATCCCTTTGGCTGTCAGCTTAACCCAGATGTATCACTGGACTGGAACAGGGGAAACTAATAGTAGACTCAGTGTGGCTGGGGTTTCTCGGATAGTCCAGGTATTTGCCATTACCTTCCTGTTTTGTTTTGTTTTTTGGGTTTTTTTGGGTTTTTTTGGGGGGGGTTTTTTTTTGGATTTTTTTTGTGTATGTGTGGTTGTTGTTTGGGTCACTTATATAAATTGTTTTGGGTAAAATAACTATTCCAGCTCCCACGTACCTGTTTTCTTTTTTCATTTGAAAGTCATGGATGAGCACCTGTGCTATCAGGCAAGAGGATAGTTGAATTGATAGCTATGGGTTTCTCAAATGAGAATCAATGGTGGGTCACAGTCACTAGACAGCCAGCATTCTGACACTCCTCACAGGAGAGCCACAACCATGTTATGAGGTGCCGTGAGTGTAAGATCTTGACCCAAGAGTTAACTTGTTTGCTTTTTTTTTTTTAATTAAACTAGCAGTAGCTGCCATAGCTCTTAGACAGGTGTCTAAGGCCACATCCTGTCACTACAGGGTCCAATTGTTTAGACGAGTATGTCATAGAGCATTTCCATGGTCCCAAAGTTTGGGTTAAAACCCCTTTTGTCTTTTGTTTCATGAACAAACAGATAAAAAGATTTTTGGAACATCTGGAAATTCTAGGGCTAGAACAGAAATCAGAGCTGTTTTTAAAAGCCTCAAGTGCCTTTTGCTTAGTCTTAGGCTAGATTAGGGGCTTAGTGCCCCCTCTCCTTGTTCTAGTGTATAGAGACCTTGCTATTTCCATAAACTCTTGTATCCAGAGGCAGCAACATCCAGCTGCACCTGAGAACTCTTGAACCTGTCTCTCAGTCTTTGGAGTTGGTATCTGAAGTATGGCAGGAATCTTACTCTGAAACAGGCTCTGTCTTAGCTAGGGTTTCTTTTGCTGCAACAAAACACCATGACCAAAAAGCAAGCTGGGTAGGAAAGAATTTATTCGGCCTACATTTCTACATTGCTACTCACCACCAAAGGAAATCAGGACAGGCACTCAAGCAGGGCAGGAACTTAGAAGAAGGAGCTGATGCAGAAGCCATGGAGGGGTGCTGCCTCCTGGCTTGCCTCCTATGGCTTGCTCAGCCTTCTTTCTTTCTTTCTCCCTCCCTTCCTTTCTCTCTTTCTTCCTTTTCTTTCTTTTTTAAAGATTTACTTATTTTATATATGTGAGTATACTGTTGCTGTCTTCAGACACACCAGCAGAGGGCATCAGAACCCATTACAGATTCTTGTGAGCTACCATGTGGTTGCTGGGAATTGAACTCGTGACCTCTGGAAGAGCAGTGTTCTTAACCTCTGAGCCATCTCTCAAGCCCTCAGCCTACTTTCTTACATGCTCCTTTTGCCTCCCTTCAGCTGGTAGCCAAGATAGGTAGCCTTCTACAAGTCTTAGCTGATATTCTGTAGCCCAAGCTCTGTAATTCTTGCAGCAGTCCTTCAGTGGCCTTTTTATAATCTATTTTCCAAGAAAACCTTTGATAGAAAGGCCAGAAGTCTGTATTTTGTGTCTTTAAATTCTGGGGAACCAGGTATATTGCCCACTGTAACCTCCTACTGAGTCTGCCTATTTAAAAGCAAAGATGGGTTAACTCACCTTCCAATGGGAGGCTGAAGAATGTACCTTTCAAATCCAAGACAGTGTACACCTGTTTTTCTGGAGGAATCAGACTCATGAGAATCAGAGGTCCCAAGTCTCTTCACAGGCAGGTGAGGCATATTCCATAATCTCTGACAGGGCACCAGGATGCCTGTCTTCTCAAGCCAAGTGATAGGACTGAAGTTTCTCTTTCTCTTTCCTGGGTCATTGGGTATTGTTTAATCTGTTGGAAGTAGCTGAACTGGTTAGGTAAACGATTATAATAACTCTTGGTGTTAGGCCAGTCCTAGGGGTGTGGTTTCTTCTGGCAGAGGGTAAGACACCAAAATTTTGCTTGGTATCTGTAAGTCTGAATCTTGTCAGAAAAGGTGACAGTGGTTTTCAGTTTATGCAAAACATGTATTATCTGGAGCCAACTGGGACAAAGGAAATCTTTTTAGTAGCTATCATTAATACTTTAAAAAGGACCTAGCAAAAGTTGTTTAAAGTCTTTGTCAGTATTAGACAAAAGGGAAAAATCAGTTCTGTCCAGATTGCATTGTGTGGCTGCCAATTGCCCTGCCCAGCTAGGGGCAATTTTGGAGGTTTTGTTTTATTGCTTTTTTTACTTTCTTCAGAGAATCGTGGGTTTTACAGATCACTGCTTTAAAAGGAGACATAAATCATGAGAAAGGAGTGGCACTTTTTCTTTTCCTTCAGGTTCACCCCAGGGGAACTTTTTTCTTCCCTGGGCTGCTTAGAACAGGCATGGAGCAGAGTAGAGGGAGTGCTCACCTGGGGGGAACTCTTTCCCCCTCCCTGTGCCATTTAGATGGCAGAGGCCAAGCAGTACTGCTTCCAGAGTGAGACAGGTGGAGGATTTGGGGGTTCTCTGGATAACCTGGAAGAGACAGAAGGATTTGGATTCCCAACAAGAAGGGCACAAGTCTTAAGCCAGATAGCAGGAGGATCTTACTCCAGAGAAAGCCACTGGTTAATACAAGGAAACCAAATTGACAGAAACACATAGAAAAACACACAGAGACACACAGTAAAAACACCCAGGGGTGGCCACCATGCATTCATACACTTGAACAGAGGGATCCAGTGACGTCTCACATGGATCCTGGACACTGTGTATATATCAGCAGCTGTGTATGACCTCTCCTATGTGTACAAACAGAAGGCACCTTAATCAGACTTATCTCTAGAGGTGACAGAAGAGGAGACTTTCTAGTATGTTTCCCTTTGAGGTGGTGTCAGAGCCCCCTGAATCGTTAGGCAGTGACTGATCAAAGAGATCTCTAGGGACCTTGAAAATCTCAGGTTGCAGACCCAGGACCACCTGACCACCACACTCTTCTTTACTCCGAGGGGCTCCAAGATTCCCAGTGGCTTGAGGTCTTGCTCTGGGATCTTACTAGAACCCCAAAAATGTGGGGCCTCCAGAAATGTGGGGTATCCACCAGAGAAGACTGCTCAGTCTTTATCATCTTTATTAGCTGGCTGGCCACCATATGCGGTTTTGGGGATCCTAGTGTAGCCTACAGACCTTTCTCAGGGTGAGCTTTTAAGCACAATAACTATATTTTGGGTTGGCACACTTCAGTTAACAAGAACAGCTAGCCAAAAGCAGAACTACAGAAGCCAAAAATCAAAATTAGTACATTCAAAGACTTTTCCATAGCTATGGAAAAGTTTGATGTATTAGGCCTTTAGTTTTGTCAGGTGATGCTATGTGCTGAGTTTTAGTCTGAATAGCATTTCCATCATGCAGTCAGTTGTGCTAAGATCTGGGGGCCTATTAAGGTCTGGGGGGCCTGTCACAGCATTACTCGGGTAGCAGAGGCAGGTGGATCTCTGAGAGGGAGATCTTGTCTCAGAAAAAAAGGCTAACCAAAACTAATAGTTCTTTATTATTTCAAGTTATTTAGTAATTCAGGGTAGAAAAAGTCCAGCGGTCTCTTTGCTTTTGCTTCAGGTTACTCTTTCTAAAAGGCTCCCCCTTTCTCTTTTTCCTTTCTAACTCTCCTCATTCTTGTTCCATTAAAGATATTATGTATCAATATATACAAATGCAGCTAATTTTTAAACTCCAAGGTTATTACTGTAGTCTAATCATATACAACTAAGCAACAGATGAGCTAAGTTCAGAGCTCTTCAAGACTGCCCTGGCCTTCTTAGCTACTTCCCTTTGGCTCTTGCCAGAATTCCAAGAAAAGTAAAGGAAGAAGACTCTTATTTATAAAACACCTGAAATGAGATGCTCAAAATGGTACACACGATTGAGGATATGGCTCAGTATTGCAATATTACTGTAAAACAGTTTCCTGTTTTCAGTCTCCAACATCACCAAAGGAGGGTGGGGAGCGGGGTGCAGACAGCTAGGAATGGATGAGCCTGAGTTGCCAAACTTTTCAACGGCTAATATCAAATATCACTGGTCTTGATGAGAAATTAGTTTTTGAAGAATTGTTTCTTTTTAAGGTGGTAAGTATGCATTTATTTAGAATAATGAACAAATATGCTTGTCACATAATCCAGGAAGTATAGAAATCTTCATGATCCAGGAAAAAAACAAAACAATGAGAGATAAATATATGAGTGGGTTCAGCAGCTGGCATGGAAAGGGGGTTAGAGAGGGGCTGTGAGCTTACATCTACTAGGGTTTAAATGTTTAAATATGTGAAGAGAGAAGACAAAAGCCAGGGTCTCCTGAAGGTAACTGATTTACCAGCAAACAGCCAGACTTCTTGCAGGATTTCAACCAGAGAGGGAAAACAGTGGATCAGGAAGCAATCTACTTAGCAGTACAGACACAAAGCTGTCTTGGTTTAGTTTCTAGGAAAAGTAAGACTATTTTAAGAATTTGTAATCAAAGAACCTGAAGTCATATAAGTTTGGAGTTCAAATTATACTACCTCTGCTCAGGAGAGCCTTTTAAAAAGTAAAAATGTTTTATGTCTTGCACTTTCAGGGGAAGTCTGCCTTGTGGTCACATTTGATCCAGTTTCAGGATAGAGAAGAGAAACAAGAACACCTCACAGACTCACCAGGTAAGAAGGTGTTGGATAAGGTAGATTGCTTCAAGTCTCACGTATTGCAGTGTTACTGTTTTCAATTAGAGCTCTACTTCCTCATTATAAGACAGAGAAAATGGTAGTAGCTATCCCAAATGATCATGTTGAATTAAGAGGGCAAAAACAATTGTGAAGGAGTGTTAGAGTATGGTATGGTATATACTGATTTATTAAAGAAAAGTCTGGGGCTGGAGAGATGGCTCAGTGGTTAAGAGCACTGACTACTATTCCAGAGGTCCTGAGTTCAATTCCCAGCAACTACATGGTGGCTCACAACCATCTGTAATGGGGTCTGGTGTCCTCTTCTGGTGTGTCAAAAGAGAGCAATGGTGGTATACTCATATAAAATAAATAAAAATAAATAAAAATCTTTTTAAAAAGAAAGAAAAATTTTGTGACCATCATTAATAATCTTAATATCTTTTGTTACATTTTATTTAATTATTTTTTATGCGGGCATTTATATGTGGAGGTCAGATGACAACTTGGAGGAGTCGGTTCTCTTCTTCCGCCATGTGAGACCTGGGAATTGGGTTTGGTGGCAGGTGCCTTTATCCACTGCTTTATCTCAATAACACCTCCCCCCCCCCTTTTTTTATGTTGTCAGGATCAAACCCTGGACCTTGTATTAATAAATAAAATTCCAGGAAAAATTGTGTGTTTATCTCCAAGACTCTTTAAGAGTCATATTCTTTCTCATAGCTTGTTTCCTTCTTTTTAAAATGGGAGTCTTACTACAATGCTCAGGTGGCCTCAAACTTGATGTAGTTCCACCATGGTTCAAAAAGTAGCCGGGACTACAGGCGTGTATCACTACACTCAACTTAGGAGTCAGATTCTTCAATTTATAGATGGCATCTGATGGTATTAGTATCATAGTTCTTCTGCTAATCATAATTATATAGGATTCCTTAGGTCAAATGATACAACTATTTCATTTATTTATTCACAAAGACTGTTTTTCTTGGCAGTGCTGAAAATCAAACCCAAGGCCTCAACCTCTGAGTCATATAGCCCAGAGCTTGGTTTTCTTTATGTAAAATAACCATTTATTTTATAAAATGTATAATTAACAGTAGAAAGTTAGTAGAAATAAAAGATTTTGGCTGAGTTTGGTGGCACATGTCTATAATCCCAGTATGCAGGCTGAGGCAGAAGGATCAACAGTTCTGAGCCAGTCTAAGCTACATAGTGAGACCTTATCCCAGAAGACCTCAAAGAAGGTAGGGAAAGATTTTATAGTGAATCAGCCACTTAAAAGCCATTTTTTTAAATTATAAATTATTTTAAAAATTCAGAAAGAAAAAGTTTTTAAAACATATTGTTTTGAGGCAGTATCTCACTGCTTAGCTCTGGATGGCCTGGAACTCACTGTGTAGACCAGGCTGGCCTTGAACTCATGGAGATCCCCCTGCCTCTGCGTCTAGAATGCTGAGGTCAAAAGCATGCACCACCACACCCAGCTATAAAAAATTTTTGAATTCCAAAGTTAGAGTTGGGAATATGGATCATTGTTACAGCAAAGGCTCCCTTGCCAACCTTGAAAACTGGAGTTTGATCCACAGAATCTATATGGTAGGAGAGCATCAATGCCACAGAGATATCTTTTGACTTCCACCTAGAGACCATAGAGCCAGCAAGGGATGGGGAGTGAGAGAGACAGAGAGAGAGAGACAGAGACACACAGAGAGAGAATATGTGTGTATAATGTTTTAAGAATTCACAAGCTAACCTCCAACTTTAGAAATAAAATACTGCAAGTTGAGGATGTAGCTCAGTGGAAGAATATTCACCTAACAAAGGTGAGACCCAGAGTTTAATCCCTAACACTGGAAGAACAAAAGAAACAAGAAAAGGAACAGAAAGATAGGGAGAGAGAAAAAAAAGAAACAAAGAGGGGAAGTAAAAGTTACTCTCACATTTATCCTCAGTTTCTGATCTTTCACTGTCCCACCCGAGGTAGCTCTACCCTACAGTGTTTATTTGTCAATAACCTCATTTTCAAATGCATTTTATAAGACAACTAGAAATGTGGAGCTGATACTGCACTGCCCTGGAGCTCCTCTCAACAGTCATGTTCTGGAGGCCTCGTCTATAGCTACATTTACATGGATTTACATTTACATCTCTGCTGTCTATCTCATCCTCCCTTCTTCCTATAAAGAAAGTAAAAGTTGCTGGGAGTGGTACACACTTTTAATCCCAGCCCTTGGGAGGCAGAGGCAGGTGGATCTCTGTGAGTTTGAAATCAGCCTGGTCTACAAAAGGGAGTTCCAGGACAGTAAAGGTCTATTACACAGAAAAATCCTCTTGAAAAAAATAAAAAGAAGGAAAGAAAGAAAGAAAGAAAGAAAGAAAGAAAGAAAGAAAGAAAGAAAGAAAGAGGGAGGGAGGGAGGGAGGGAGAGAGAGAGAGAGAACAAAAGAAAGAAGTACACTGGTCTATGTCCTATGTCTAACAGGAGATGTAGCCATTCACAATATAAAACCATAAAACCAAAATCGCTTCTCTAAATTTCACTTCACTATAGGTAGAAGGCCTACCCTAAATAGAAAAAAAGTAAACAATTAATGGAAAAAGAAAAAGTAGAGCTGAGCATAGTGGTGATCCCAACACTTAAGTGTGGGAGAAAGAAGGTCAGGAGTTCAAGGCCATCCCTGGGGTATGTATGTATTAAGACTGTCTCAAAAGAGAATAAATCCCTAAGAAGTGGTTATTCATGGGACTATGTTGGAAAGCAGCCGGGTCCAATTAAGATGAAACAGAAGCATTCAACTCTTATGCCCAAAGAGGCATGTGAGAATATCCAGCTGTTAGAATCAGCTGCTGCTGGGTAACCTTTGCAGCTTCTGTGGTTTTGACTGGCCAAATGTGGAGGTTCAGTTAGGAATCAGAGTCATGGGTATCTTCAGTGACCTCAGTTGATGGTAGAATTAGCAAATAATAAGGTAATAAATGAAAAACACATCAAAGGCCCATGCAGTTACAGTTTCTGCTGCACTACCATATTAATGAAAGGCTAATGATATAAGAACAGTGTTTTAGTGACTCAATAAGATTAATAAGAGCATGTTACTTTTTTTTTCTCTAGGTAGTCTGACTGTGTGACTCTGGCTGCCCTGAAATGCCCCGTATAGATCTGCCTGCCTCAACCTTACAGAGATCTAATAATCTGTCCCTCCCCAAGTGCCTGGATTAAAGATAGGTGCTAGCACTTACCTAGCACAATGAGACAGACAGACAGACAGACAGACAGACAGACAGAATGTGACTGTGTATGTGTGATTGTATTGTATGATTGTTTGTGTCTTTGGAGGCCAGAAAAGGGCATCAAAGTTCCTGAAGCTATAATATACAGGTATATATACAAACAGGTAGTTGTGGGCTGCCCAGCATGAGTGATGGGATCAAACTCAGAGTCCTCTGTAAGACCATTACATACACATAAAGCTAAGCCATCTCTCCAGCCCTGAGCCATATAGCTTTCGAAGTCTGTAAAATTATCTTTTATTAACCTGGTGTAATTGTTGTCTCAGAGGCTTACTGCCTCAGTCTGGTAACCTAGGCCTAGTCCTGGAAGTTTCTAGGCTCCATACAATCTTATCTAGGTCTAGAATGTTTTTCTGTCTCTGAGACTTACTGATGAATAAGCTCATCCTTCCTAGTTCTTTCTGAACTCTGGCTGGCTGGCTGGCTGGTTAACTCAGCTGCTCTGGCTCAGACTCCTTCCCAAGCTGATTGATTCAAACTCACTTCTCTCAGCTTCTTTCTTACCGAATTGCTCTGCCTGGCCTCAAACTAACTCTGTCAATCTGTTCTAATCTTCTGGCTGCTTCTCGCTGGATTGCTGTTTTCACCTGTGTCTAGTTTGTTCTCTCTCTGCACCCTGCTTCTGTACAACTGTCATGATAAAACTGCCCTCTCTCCTCCCATCTCTCTCAGTGCTGCTCTTTAAGTAGCTTCCCTTTCCTCTATGTTCTTGTGAGAATTAGACATATCCTATTCAGTCAAATCTTTCTCTGACTCATCACTTTGCCTCTCAATTAGACATCACTTTCAAACATGGTTGCTTCCTTCTAAAAACTAACTTTACCTTCATTGTTTGGGATTAAAGGTGTATACTAAGGGCCTTTCTTTATTCCAGGTGGAGTAACCTTGTTGCTGGATTAAAATCTTTCTACAGAAGTCTATGTTTATTGTTTGAATAGAGGGGTAGTTTATAAACATTGCTCTAATAATACTTCTGGTGATTTAGCCTGTGAAGACTTAAAAATTTTTGTGGACTGGAGGTGTGGCTCAATTGGTAGAGAGCTTGCCTAGTGTGTACCATAGTGGATTTCAACATCAGTGCCCTATAGCCATGGCATAGTGGTACACACCTGTAATCCCAGCAGTTTCAGCGCTATGGAGATGGAAGCAAGACTTCAAGTTCATCTTGGCTACATGGTCAGTTGGGGGCTGGCCTGGGCTCCATAAGATTAAAAATGAGGGTGGGGTTGGTGAGATGGCTCAGCAGGTTAAGGTGCTTGCTGCCAGGTCTGATGAACCGAACTCAACCTGGAGACCTACATGGTAGAAGAGAAAAACGAACTCCCACAAGTTAGTCTTTGACCTTTATATACATGCCGTGGTACATGCATAGGTACACACATACACAAATAATAATGTATTTTATTTTAATTTATAGTATGGCTAGGGATATAGCTCAGTGATAGAACACTGGCTTACCATGTGAAAGGTCCAGTTTCATCCCATAGCATGAACATGACACACATACATAGACATCTCCATCTTTTCATCACATTATTTACTTTGTGTGGGAGGGCACACGTGTAGCACATATGAGACCCTGGTTTCAATTTCCATCACCCCTTCCAAAAAACAAAATTAAAGGAAGGTGATAATTGAAACATTTTATTTAAAAACTTAATTCTGTTTTTGAGTCTTGCTTACTCTTTGCTTTGATTGGTATTACTTACTTTGCCCTTTGAACTAACCTCTAATTGGTCAGTTTATTTCTGTCACAACATCATAGTATCATTCCATTTACTAACTGAAAAGTAGAGCCTTTTCTAAATCTCTTCCTAAAATAAAGTTCTAAATTGACATTTAAGATTTGACTATCTGGCCTTCCATTGTGTTGTCTAGTCATGTGAAATGGAGAGTCATTCCCTGACCATTTGACTTTCTACCCCAAAGGAATATAGCACTTTAATAACATACTTAAGCTAGGGTGGTCTCAGAAAGATAAGTATACCTTATCCCCTGCAAGTGTGTAAGACAATTTCCACACTGTACACTGCTTCCCTGAGTGTCAAAGAGATCAGTGTTTTAAAGTACCAGTTTGAAAATTCCTCTCCCTAAGCCGGGTGTTGTGACACACTCATTTAATTCCAGCCCTTGGAAGGCAGAGTGTAGGCATAAATTTTTTGCAACCTACTTTTTTTTAAAGATTTATTTATTTATTTTTATATGAGTACACTATAACCATCTGCTATAGACACACCAGAAGAGGGCACTGGATACTATTACAGATGGTTGGTTGTGAGCCACCATGTGGTTGCTGGGAATTGAGCACTCAGGACCTCTGAAAAAGCAGTCAATGCTCTTAACTGCTGAGCTATCTCCAGCCCTGCAACCTACTTTTAATAAGGGTTCAACTTCTCTAACTCACCACCCAGGAGAGGTAATGGAAGAGAAAAGTTATTAGGATATGGGGGAAATGGACCTTTTCAGCAATAGTTCTTTGCAGGTAGCGCCATCTTCTTGGGCAGCAGTTCAGTCCCGTAGCAAACACCAAATACAACTTAGCAGCTACAGTCCAGTCCTTTCAACAAGCAGACACCAGCAGCTGTAGCTCACTCCTGAAGAAACCATCAGGCTCAACAACTGGCCTGAAGCGAGGCTGCAGAGGCAGCAAGCTGCCGCAGGAACCTCCGGAGCAGTTCTTGGGCGAGTTTCTCTCATTGATGGCATTATCACAAGTTAAGCTCAACAACACTATGTAAGGCAAACCTATTACATCCGTGTCTTTAGCAAAGTATAGCAAGGCGGAGCAAACCAAACCAAAGCTCATTGTTTGTCTCCCAATGTCTGTGGGGTCAAATTTATACTTCTTCATTAAGAGTCATTTCACATGTCTGCTATATCCAAACATCCTTTCAACCTGTGTCTGCTTCAGGAAAACAGTCTTTCATATGTTTGCTTTAACAAGACATCCTTTCACCTGTGTTCCCCAGCAAAACATCATTTGGAATAACTAACTTTCCAAAGAACTATAAGTTTCCACTTCAGCAGAGGCAGGTGGAGCTCTGTGAGTTCAAGGCCAGCCTGGTCTACAAAGAGTTTCAGGACAGCCAATACTGTTACACAGAGAAATCCTGTCCCTTTTTTTTGGTTTGGTTTGGTTTGGTTTGGTTTGGTTTGGTTTGGTTTGGTTTGGTTTGGTTTGGTTTGGTTTGGTTTGGTTTTTCGAGACAGGGTTTCTCTGTGTAGCCCTGGCTGTCCTGGAACTCACTCTGTAGACCAGGCTGGCCTCGAACTCAGAAATCCACCTGTCTCTGCCTCCCAAGTGCTGGGATTAAAGGCATGCGCCACCACCGCCTGGCGAGAAATCCTGTCTCAAAAAAAAAACCAAAAAAACAAAAAACCAACAACAACAAAATTTTTTCAAAGTTTAAAATTTCATGTTTAATGTTAAATGTTTTCTGGGCTGAGAATGTTCTGGGCTCAATCCCCCAGTATCACGTAAACAGGGTATTGTATATGTATCACATACATGTAATCCTAACATGCAGAAGTTAGAGACCAGCCTTGGATATGTGAGACTTCGTCTCAAAAAAGCAAAAAACCCTAAGTAGGTTTCCAGTTCATGAGTCCAGAGTTAAAGGCTCACATACTTAATAGCTAATCTCTCGACTTTGCCTTTGAGTAATTATCCAGCACTGTGAGAATGAATAACTGTAGAAGATGACAGAATTTGCACATATTACATCATTTGTTAGATGTACTTTTATAAATTTTTTGTTTTAAATTTCCAAATGTAGCCACAGCTTGTTTAGAAAGAATACAACTGGTTTACTCTGTTAATAAAGTATCATCAGTACTAAGTGGTCATCCCTGAAAACATACACAAACAAGTAACATTATTATACAGATTCAGTAAGTTGCATTTATGCATTTAGAAATATGTATACACACATATATCTAATGACAAAGAAAAAAGAGTTCATGAGTCTGAAAAAGCAAAGTTATGGGGATGGAAGACACATGGGAGGGTTTGGAGGGAGGAAAGGGAAGGATGACATGATGTATTTATATTATAATCTCATGGTGGTATACCCCATCAGTCCCAGCATTTGGGAGGCAGAGACAGATGGATCTCTGTAAGTTCAAGGTCAGCCAGAGTTATACAAAAAGACCCTGTCTTGAAAGAAAAAAACTAAAATATAAATTCTTACTGTTACTCTCCTAATACTTTGCTAATATTTTTCTACATAGTTGCCCTTGGACCAGAAAGAAGAAAATCTGACTCAGGAGTTATGCTACCAACACTCAGAGTCTCTCTTATTCAAGACATGAGGTATTTGTTACACATGGTAATAAATGATGATATCCTTGAAATGTAGCTTTCACCTAAATTGTGCAAGTAATTATAACTACACTTTTTGCTTATATATTCTGAAGAAGGTATCGTCATAATTTTATTTATTTATTTATTTATTTTCATTTTATCTTACGAGTATTAGTGTTGACCTGCATATACATATATAAACCATATGCATGCCTGGTGCCCACAGAGTTCAGACTAGGAAACTAGATCTCCTAGAACCAGAATTACCAGAATTAGAGATGGTTGTTAGCTAACATGTAGGCTCTGAGAACCAAACTGAGTCTTCTGCGAGAGCAGCAAGTGCCTTTAGCCAGGGGACCGTCTCTCCAGCCCCAGGTTTGTTTTGTTTGTTTGTTTTTTTGTTTGTTTTTGGCTTTTTCGAGACAGGGTTTCTCTGTGTAGCCCTAGCTGTCCTGGAACTCACTCTGTAGACCAGGCTAGCCTCGAACTCTCAAACTCAGAAATCCGCCTGCCTCTGCCTCCCAAGTGCTGGGATTAAAAGCGTGCACCACCACCACCCGGCCCTCTAGTTTTAATTGTTTTATTATCATACTGTTTTTTCTTTCTGACATTAAATAGAAAGGGAAGATGGAGCAGAAGAGTTTTCTAAATTACAACTTCTCCTGTTTGGATTTTTGAAAAGTCTCTAAAATGCCTGTTATCTATACATATATAAATTAAAAAATCTGTAATAACAACAGGTACTTGGCAGAAAAATTGGTCTCAGAAAGATATACACTTTTTATATTTGTTTGTTTGTTTGTTTGTTTGTTTTACAGAGATCCACCTTCCTCTGCCTCCCAGGTGCTGGGACTGATGGGGTATACCACCATGAGATTATAATATAAATACATCATGTTATCCTTCCCTTTCCTCCCTCCAAACCCTCCCATGTGTCTTCTGTTCCCCACAACTTTGCTTTTTCAGACTCATGAACTCTTTTTTCTTTGTCATTAGATATGTGTGTATACATATTTCTAAATACATAAATACAATCTACTGAATCTGTATAATGTTACTTCTCGGTGTAGCCCTGGCTGTCCTGGAACTCACTCTGTAAACCAGGTTAGCCTCAGAACTAAAAAGATTGTCTCGTGCCTCCAGCCACCACTGCCTGGCAAGTTGTAGCTTAAAAAATACAAATATTAAAATTAGCATTTCTGTCAGGCAGTGGTGGCTCATGCCTTTAATTCTAGCACTAAGGAGGTAGAGGCAGGTAGATCTCTTAAGTTTAAGGCCAGCCTGGTCTGCAGAGCAGGGTTAGGGAACAAATTCCAGAACAACCAGGGCTGCACAGAGAAGCCCTATCTTAAAAAAATACATAAATTACAAAATAATTTTAACACTTCTGACTTTTTGTGCCTTTTATGGTGGCGTGTGTCTTTAATCCCAACACTTGGAGGCAGAAGCAAGCAGATCTCTGAGTTTATTATGACCAGCCTGGTCAACATAATGATGTTCAGGACAGCCAGCGCTAAATTAGAGAGACTGTGTCTCAAAACAAACAAAAAGTCACTATGACTTATCTTAAAGTTGTACTTTGTTGGTATTATATGTATGTGTGTGCATGTGTGTACATGTGTACATGTGTGCATGTGCTTGTGTGTTCCTGTGTGTGTGTTCACGTTCATTGTGTGTGTATGTGCATGTGGGACTGCAGACCAAGTTAAGCAAATCCTTGCTAATTTGAGTAGTTAACAGACTTTTTAAAAAAAAAAAAACAACAGGAGTCTGTCTTAGATGGCATGATTGCTCTCCTAGACTACTGTAAAGATAGTGTGCTTCTGCATATATGACTTTCTTTAAGGACAATATAAAAATGGAAAAAATGTTAAAACTGTGCAAGTGTTTTGGGTCTTTCACCTGTTACGGTAACTAGCTGTGGTTTGTCATCCATGCAACAGGGGGACACAAGACACATGGGACTCATGTCATCTTTTTTTTTTTTTTTTTGGTTTTTCGAGGCAGGGTTTCTCTGTGTAGCCCTGGCTGTCCTGGAACTCACTCTGTAGACCAGGTTAGCCTCGAACTCAGAAATCTGCCTGCCTCTGCCTCCCAAGTGCTGGGATTAAAGGCATGCACCACCACCGCCTGGCAGACTCATGTCATCTTGAACTTTTATTTTGACTGTGATTTATTTGAAGTGGATGCATTGTTCTAAGAAAAAATATTTCATATAGGATGTCTAAGAACAAGATGTATTTAAATGCAAAAACAATGTCTTGCTTGTTGGCTCTGATTTTTAGGCATATTCAGAACATGACTGAGATCAAGACTGACGTTGGACGGGCTCGGGCCTGGATAAGGTTATCCCTAGAAAAGAAGCTTTTGTCCCAGCATCTCAAGCAGCTGCTCTCTAACCAACCACTGACCAAGTAAGACACTGCCTTTCAAGACATTTGTTTCTGTGATGTGTGCATACAAAAGAAATTACATAAGCTGACAAACTATCGGTTTCAGCATGAATCCTGACTTAAGAACACTTGCATTGGGGCTGGTGAGATGGCTCAGTGGTTAAGAGCACTGACTGCTCTTCAGAGGTCATGAGTTCAAATCCCAGCAACCACATGGTGGCTCACAACCATCTGTAATGATATCTGATACCTTCTTGTGGGGTGTCTAAAGATAGCTACAGTGTATTTACATATAGTAAATAAATAAATTTAAAAAAAAAACAAACCACTTGCATTGCTGTTGTATAACAGAAACTACCTTGGTAGAATATTTGATCATTTCTGGGAGGGCACACCAGACTTAACAGCCAAAGACCAGATTACTATGCTGTAATCAGAAAGATAAACGCTACCTAGAAGGTTGAACTTACATTAACTTCATAGTATAAAACTTATAGTAAGAAATGGAGCCGGGCAGTGGTGGCGCACGCCTTTAATCCCAGCACTTGAGAGACAGAGGCAGGCGGATTTCTGAATTCGAGGCCAACCTGGTCTACAGAGTGAGTTCCAGGACAGCCAGGACTACACAGAGAAACCCTGTCTCGAAAAACAAAAAAAGAAAAAAGAAAAAAAAGAAAAAGAAAGAAAGAGGGCTAGAGAGATGGCTCAGAGGTTAAGAGCACTGACTGCTCTTCCAGAGGTCCTGAGTTCAAATCCCAACAACCACATGGTGGCTCACAACCATCCGTAATGAGATTGGATGCCCTATTCTGGTGTGTCCGAAGACAGCGACAGTGTACTCATAAATAAAATAAATAAATAAATAAATCTTTAAAAAAAAAAAGAAGAAGAAAGAAAATGCAAAGTTACTAAATGACAGAAGGGTCATTTCCCTGTCTCGAAAAAACCAAAACAAAACAAAAAAAACCCTGTCTCGAAAAAAAAAAAGAAAAAAAAAGAAATGGAGTAGAAAAGGAGAGTCTAATAGACACTTTTAATAGTTTAGATTCAGGAAACTGGTCACTTACAAGTCAGATAACTGTTAACCAGTTTTATAGTTCTGTCCTTATCAAAAATTAAAACTCCAGCCAGTCGATGGTGGCACAAGCACCTTTAATCCCAGCACTCAGGAGGCAGAAGCAGTCGGATCTCTATAAATTTAAGGCTAGCCTGGTCTACAGAACAAGTTCCATAACAGCCAGGACTGTATACAGAGAAACCCTGTCTCAAAATACCAACAAAAATCTTGTTTTGGCTTTTGAAACAGGGTTTCCTCTGTGTAATTCCAGCTGTCGTGGAACTTACTGTGTAGACCAAGCTGGCCTCAAACTCACAGATCTACCTGCTTCTGTCTCCTGAGTGCTGGGATTAATGCCATGAGCCACCACGCCTCACAAGAAATTCTTTTTTTTTTTACACGAGTGTTTTTTTTAATTAATTAATTTATTTATTATTTGTAAGTAAACTGCAGCTGTCTTCAGACACCCCACAAGAGGGCATCAGATATCATTACAGATGGTTGTGAGCCACCATGTGGTTGCTGGGATTTGAACTCATGACTTCTGGAAGAGCAGACAGTGCTCTTAACCACTGAGCCATCTCACCAGCCCAAGAAATTCTTTACAATGATAGGAACATTAGAATTTATTTGAAAGCTAAAAAGTTGGAGTTCTCAAGAATAAAGATTTGCAAAGAACCTGATTTAAATCTTAGACATGGCTTTCTATTGGACCTGTCATGGTAACCAACACTGTAGAATGAGTCTTTTGTTTTGTTTTGATTTGATTTGGTTTGTTTGAGATAGAGTCTTGCTATGTACCCTTGGCTATCCTTGGAACTTGCTTAGATTGGACAGGCCTCAAATTCACAGAGATCTGTCTACCTCAGCCTCCTGAGTGCATGTGCTACCACACCAAGTCTAGAATGTGTAGATGTGATTTTATAAAAAGTGTAAGGGCTTAAGCTTTAATGCACCTGGTAGACAGCTTGCCTAGTTCACTTGAAGTCATTTGTTTGGTCCCCAGCACCGATTAAATGGTGTATGATGGCACATATCTATTAACCCCAGCACTCTAAAGTTATAGACAGGAGGACCAAAAGTTCAAGGGAGACCTTGGCTATGTGTTGCAGGGTATTTGATCATACTGGGAACCCCAAGATTGTGTTATTTACTGGAAAAACCTATTTCTAGTTGTGGTGTGGCTCAGTCCTAGCACATACCTTTAATCTAAGAGCCTTCTGATTATTGTAAACAGGATTAAATAAAGTCAACCATAGGTCAAGAGTCAGAGCAAGCAACCGGTTGACAGGAAGTAAACATTAAACAACAACAACAACAACAAAAAAAACCATAGAGAGTAAGAGGAAGTCAAGAGGACAGATAGACTCAACAAGAAGTAGAAGAGAGGAACATTCAATCTGAAGGTTTTTTGAGAAAGCATGAAAGGAAGATTGCTTCTGGGACACTGGCTGAGGGTCAACTAGATGCTTTCTCTGCCTCTGAGCTAGCAGGCTTTCATCCCCAGTATTTCATTGGTGAAATCAACCAATTGAGATTTTGTTAAAAACAAAAGCTACATAGCAAGTTTGAGGCCAGTTTGGGTTTCATAATTTAAAATAAAATAAAAATGGAAGCTGAGGAGATGGCTCAGGTAGTAGAGTGTCTGCCATGTAAGCATGAGGACCCAGTTCAGACCCCTCATACCTACACAGACAAAAAGCCAGATGTGTAGCTTAAGCCCATAATCTCTTTGGTGTGTATGTTGCTCTTCGGGTGGAGGGCATGGTACACAAACAGGTGGATTCCTGGAGCTCACTGACCAGCCATTCTAGATGAATCAGTGTTTTTCCTGTGTGTATGTCTGTGTACCACGTGTGTGCAGTGCCACAACAGACCATGAGAGAGTGTTTTCTAGAAAACTAGCCACCAGTGCTCTCAACCACTGAGCTATCTCTGCAGACCGAGGTTTGAGGGCTTTTGATTGATTGATTGATTGATTGATTGATTTTTAGTTTTGTATTTTGCTCACATGTGTGTATACAAGAGCCACAGAGTGGAAGTCAAGAGGACAACTTGTGGGTGTTATGCTCTCTCTTTGCCCCATGTGGATCTCAGGGATTTAATTACAGTCATGAGGATTGGCAGCAAGTGTCTTTACCCACTGAACCTACCCACTGGTTCAGGAGGTATTAACTTTTAATCATTATTTTTGAGAATGAAAACCATGGGGTTGGGGATTTAGCTCAGTGGTAGAGCGCTTGCCAGCAAACACAAGGCCCTGGGTTTGGTCCTCAACTCTGAAACAAAACAAAACAAAAACAAAATTTTCTTTAAAAAAAAAAAAAAACCAAGAATGGAAATTGTAACTGATATTTGTGCTTACATTAACCCTTTTCAGGAAGCTTTATAAGCGCTATGCTTTTCTACGTTGTGAAGAAGAAAGAGAACAGTTTCTTTACCATCTGCTTTCCCTCAACGCTGTGGACTATTTCTGCTTTACCAGTGTGTTCACCACTATCAGTAAGTTTGGAGAACTGACTTTTAAGTAAGCAGTTTTTCAGGTGAGGAAGCACGGTGGCAAATACTTCTAGTCTCAACACTCAGAAGGCTAAAAAACAAGAAAATTGCCTGTTCAAAACCAATGAGTGCAGGCTATGTATCCTGACCCTTTCTAAAAAAAAAAAAACAACAAAAACAAAAACTGACCTAGTGGTCAGGGGATTCTCTTCATTCTTGGAATAAAAGAATTGTATCTTCCAAAGTGAGATATCTCACAGTACATGGAGAACCCTGATGCCTGTTTAGGAATGTAGGAGACTCCCTAGCTATTGGAAGTACTGCTGAACACAGCCTCAGCTGCCAGATTATGCAAGTGCTTCACTAAAAAAATTCCCCTGGGCTGAAACTTCCTGCCAGAACCAAGCCCGCACTAATCAAAGGACTATCCCACTGCTCACTGTGCCAGTGGAAGGCTTTATTGGCCTTCAGCAAAGCTCAGCATTCTCCCTACCAGTCTTGATTTCCTCTTCACAGGTTGATCCTAGGAACAAGCATCATCTGTGCTCATTTCTGGCTCAGCATCCACTTTCCAGCAAACCCAGATTGTGATAGAAAGTGCTACTTAGGACAAGTGTGAAATGCACAGAGCTTAAGTCGGTGGTTTTAAAAAAAAAAAAAAAAAAAAAAAAACAGGTACAATCTCTCCAGAATCTTAGTAAACATCATTGTCATTTCACTGGCTGTAATTATGAAGGCTCTGATTTCTGGTCTCTGGTAGAAACAGATAAGGAAAAAAGATTTGGAATTAATAGAGCCAACTTAAAATGACCAATATATAATAAGGTATTATTAGAAATCTAATAAGGTATTAATATCTAATTAGGTAATATGTAGTAAAATTAAGATGACTTATTAGATACCTATAATATAATATCTAGTGAGTTTGTTAGATATCTTATCAGATACTAATAATATCTTAAAGTAGTAACCTAATCTCTAGTTCATTAGTTACTAAGTTGTTAGAGGTAAAACTATAATTCACTTGTAGTGCACTTGCCTACCATGTATGAAGCAATGGGTTCAATCCCCAGCACTGTTTTTTGTTTGTTTTTTATTTTCAGGGTTTTTTTTTGTTGTTGTTTTTGTTTTAATTATCTAAAGACTGGGCATGTAGCTCCTGTAATCCCTGTTGAGGCAAGAGGATCAAAAATTCAAGGTTAGTCTAGGCAATGCAGGCAAGTTCTATCTCAAAAGAGAGAAAGGGAGGTCCAAGAAGATAGCTCAGTGGGTAAGGGCACTTGCTTCAAAGCCTGACAATCTAAATTCAGCGCCCATGATAGAAAGAGAACCGACTTCCAAAGGTTGTCCTCTGAGCCCTACACATGCACCAAGGCACACATGCAGATATATACATACGCACACACGCAAATAAATGTTCTTTAAAGGTTTTAAAAGAAAAAGTCACTTAAGAAGGCCAACAGCATGGCCATCCTCAGCTGTTTTCAAGGCCAGCATGGGATATATGAATCAAGTCACAAAACAAAAAAGGACTAGCAAGATGTCTCAGCACAAAAAGGCAAGTTCTACACAATCCCACTGACTTGAATTCCATCCCTGGAACCCACGGGAAGGTGGAAAGAAAACCAGTTCTAACAACTGTACTCTCACCTACACATGAGGTAGCACACGCACCAACACTGTCATAGGCACATCACAGACACAGTAATAAATAAGAACCTCCAAAAATATTCTTGTACCTTTAGGTTTCTTTTTTTTCTGAGAAACTTTCAATTTGAGGCATTGGAATGTATAGAAATATTCTGGCGTCCTAGCTTCCTCTCTGCTGCTGTGACAGACACCATGACCAAAAGCAGCTAGTGTATCGGAAGATGTTTAGAATATGGTGCCCTGTCAGGCTTGTTCCCAGGCAGCTGTCATTTTCCCGCTGTCATTTTCGGTCCAGCTCTGGACCGAAGCTCCGGCTCTCTAGAAACACGGCCCTGGCACCCACGAGACGCCAGCATGGTGGCTGGCTCTGCCAACCCACCAGGCTGCCCCCACAAAGCTTGGCTGAGCCCCTGATAATACCCGCCATCCTCCCGGGTACCCTGTAGAAAGAAGACTCTTAAAGCTTAATGATTATCTAAAGGATTTATATATTTAGAAATGATCAATTAACAAGATGCCCACACAATTAGAGTTGTTACCCAATATCTAACCTTTTGATAGAAGTTGCTACCCAGGACAACTTTCAACCCATCCGTGGTTCTCTATGGTGGCTCCCTCTCTCCTTTTCTCCTCCCCTTCCTCTTTCCTTCTCTCCTCCCAACTCCTCACTCCGCCTACCTTTCATACTGCCCAATCACCGAGCTCCACTGCATATACAATGTAGCAGTAGCAGGAAATTATCCTGCTACAAGCTAGAGGACAGGGTTTGTTCCAGCTTAGGGGTCAGAACTGGAAACTCACACAGGTAAGTGCTTGAAGCAGACCTTGGAGGAATGCTGAACTGGGCTTGTCCACCAAGAGGTGAGTACCCTAGTTAACTTTAAATAGCAACTTTACATAGCCTAAGAAGAGAGTCTCAATTGAGAAATTACCCAGATCATATGAGCCTTTCTTCCTTCTTTCCTTTCTTTCTTGATTGGTAATTGATATAGAACGGTCCAGCCCACTGTTGGCAGCACCATTCCCTACACAGGTGGTCCTGGCTATATAAGAAAGCTAGCTAAGGGCTGGAGAGATGGCTTAGTGGTTGAGAGCACTGACTGCTCTTCCAGAGGTCCTGAGTTCAAATCCCAGCAACCACATGGTGGCTCACAACCATCTGTAATGAGATCTGATGCCCTCTTCTAGTGTGTCTGAAGACGGCTACAGTGTATTCATATATAATAAATAAATAAATCTTAAAAAAAAAAAAAAAAGAAAGCTAGCTAAGTATCAACCTGTGAGTAAGCTAACAATGAGCAGTGTTCTTATATGTTTCTACTATAAATTCCTAATTTTCTTATGCTTTCACATTTGAGCCAGGATCCATGACAGGATGCTGACATCTAGTGGTGAGCCTTTTGAAAAGGCTAGATAGATCATTGCACATCTGGCTGTCCCAGATTCCTCATGCATATGGGTTACCTCAGTAACCTAATCCTGGCATTCTGTAGGAGTTGGTTCTCTTCCCTTCCACCACGTAGGTCCTAGGGATTGAACTCAGGTTGTCAGCCATGACGACAAATACCTTTAACCATTGAGCCACATCTCTAGCCCTCGTCAATATATCTTAAAAATTGGCTGGGCAGTGGTGGTGGTGGCACATGCCTTTAATTCCAGCACTTGGGAAGCAGAGGTAGGCAGATCTCTGTGAGTTTGAGGCCCCTTGGTCTACAGAACAAGTTCAGGACACCTAGGGCTATCCAGAAAAACCCAGTCAGTCTTAAAGACAAATAAACAGGCTGGAGAGATGGCTCAGTGGTTAAGAGCACTGACTGTTCTTCCAGAGGTCCTGACTTCAATTCCCAGCAACCACATGGTGGCTCACAACCATTTGTAATGAGATCTGAAGCCCTCTTCTGGTGTGTCTGAATACAGCAACAATGTACTCACATATATAAAATAAATCTTTTTTTTTTTAAATGATCATAAAAAGCCAAATATTAGGGGCTAGAGAGATGGCTCAGGAGCTAAGAACACTTGTTCTTTCTGAGGACCTGGGTTCAGTTCCCAGTACTCATATAGTAGCTCATAACTCCAGTTCTGTAACTCCAGTTCCAGGGGATCTGACTCTATTCTTTGACCTCTGAGATCACTAGACACAGATGAGGTATACATACATACATACATACATACATACATACATACAGCAAAACATGCACATAAAAACAAATAAGACACATTAAAAAAAGCAACATATATCTTAAAAGCATCTAGTTCTAGATACTTGTGATTTTTTTTCTAATTCACTTCTGTGTTTTTCTTTCAGTGATTCCTTATAGATCAGTGATCATTCCAATTAAAAAGCTGAGCAATGCAATCATTACCTCGAACCCGTGGATCTGTGTTTCAGGAGAGCTGGGAGACACCGGAGTAATGCAGATTCCAAAGAACTTGCTTGAGATGACTTTTGAGGTAGGTTAGCTAACACCTTTTTTAGTTCTACAGGAGATTTCTGGTTTTGCCTTTTCATTTTCCTTTAAACAAGTGAAAGGAGCATGTAAACATACAGAATCATTTTGTTATTATATACTTAGAACTGTCTAAAGCAGATTTCATGAGTTACTCTATATTTTTATTGTTAAGCCCTATCTTTCTACTTGTAGTAGGCTTCACCAGGTCCTATTCCTTGATTCCCAGTGCCTGACACAGAACATGACAAACAACGTTAAGTAAATGCTTTTTCTAAAGTGGTCCTTACAACCAGAGACCTGGCATCCTTGCATAAAGCTCCTGAAACATTTAGTGGCATTATAGAATGTTTTTGGTTTTTTGGGTTTTTTTTTTTTTTTTGGGGGGGGGGGTGTTTCGAGACAGGGTTTCTCTGTGTAGCCCTGGCTGTCCTGGAACTCACTCTGTAGACCAGGCTGGCCTCGAACTCAGAAATCCGCCTGCCTCTGCCTCCCAAGTGCTGGGATTAAAGGCATGCGCCACCACCACCCGGCGGTTTTTTGGTTTTTCAAGACAGAGTTTCTCTGTGTAGTCCTGGCTTTCCTGGATTGTATAGACAAGGCTTGCCTTTAATTCAGAGATCAGTCTGCCTCTGCTTCCCCAGTGCTGGAATTAAAGGTGTACACCACCATGCCTGGCTCCTATAAAGATAGCTTTTTATGTTGTGAGTTTTAGGGTCTCATCTTGTAGAGTATTCCCATATGTTTGAGCCCATATTCAGGTAGGTGCTGATATACCAGGAGTGAAATAGGTAAGAGAGAAACAGTAGTAGGGTGTTCTGTTCTCATTTGTGTTCCCTAGGGTCTAAGGTCAGCCATTTTCACTTGGAATCACAGTGCTCCCACAGTGGTCCATTTGACTTTCTACTTGTGGCAGACTCACATCTATCTGTATATAAAAATTAAAGCCTTGGATTTTCTTGGCCTACCAATTATGGAACAAAAACTAATTACACTGTAAGTCTCATCTTCTTCCCCCACCCCCTCTCTGCATCATCCCTTAGCTAGGTCACATGATGCCTTTCACTGATATACAAAGAAAGCAAATGCTTTTAAAACTTGCAATTCTGATGTTTTGGTCCAGCCAGCATATAGTAAGTCTGATCATCTCATTTTAGTTAGCATCCATTTTTCAGTTCCTGTCATTATTGCTTTGTCTTATACTTGTCCACAAAGGGCCAGCAAGGACATTGATAATCACAGTTTATTCATAATTTCACTTTCTAAAGTTTTGGTACCTGGTGTTAATTGTGGTCCAAAAATATTAAGTGGAGAATTCTTAAAAAAAAAGAAAGAAAGAAAGAAAGAAAGAAAGAAAGAAAGAAAAAAAGAAGGAAGGAAGGAAGAAAGAAAGGAAGGAAGGAAGGAAGGAAGGAAGGAAGGAAGGAAGGAAGGAAGGAATAGAAGCTAAGGATGGTGGTGTATTCCTATAACCTCGGCACTTGAGAAGCAGAGACAGGAGGATCAGAAGTTTAAAGCCACTTTCAGCTACATAACAAGTTAGAGGCCAGCCAAGGTTACATGAGTTCATGTCTCAAAAAAAAAAACAAAAAAATAAAAATCCAGGCATGGTGGCACAGGCCTATAATCCTAAGACAAAAATAAAAGAATTGTTGTGAGTTCAAAGCCATCCTGGACTGTCTCAAAAACTAAACAGAAATTAAAGTTTTTGAAGGTGGAAGTTGTTTACACACTATTGGTTTTTGTTATACAAAGGAACAAATCCAGGGTCTTACACATAATCAGCAAACATTCTATTATTAAGCTAGCCCCTCAGTCCACATCTTATATGCTTGGTTTTTGTTTTTGTTTTTTATTGTGCATCATTATGAATAGCAGGATGAAATCTGTGTTGTTCCTGGGTCAGCCATGAGTTCTGTCTTCGTCTAGAATGTCTGCACTGTATGTGCTACCTTCCCATTAGTTACTTAGTAATCATTTAAGTTATCAGAATAACTGTTCAGGTGTGGCAGTTGCTTATGTTTAGGAAACCTTTATTTTACTTACTAATGGTCCCACAGCATAAGAGTAGTATTACAGAGAAGGATCCAGACCATAAAACATGACAAAACTCTGGCATGTGTGGCAACATTGCAAAGCATATAGGAAAAAAACAGTCCTATAAATTTAGTATTAGGGTAGTTTCATGCATATACTGGGAGTCTTAGAATATATCTCTTGTAGATGAGTTTTACAAATAGACTTTTAAACTTCTCTAGTAGTTCAGGCCCTTGAACAAGCTAAACAAGCACAGTACCTTGAGTTACTTGCTAAAAAAAATCAGTGTTTTTTTTTAATCTGTGTATTTGCAGTAAGTCCATCTAAATAAGACCTTTTCATACTTACTGAAATCCTTTTCACCCTTCAATTAAAGGACAATACTCTCAGTGATTCTGTAACTGGATTCCCCAAGTAGAAGTAAACGTTCTCCAGCATTCTCCAAGTACTTGTTTACATTTCTAGTGCAGCACCTCACACACTCCACATCATTTGGTAGTCAGTGTCCATGTTCTGTCTCATTGTATGAAGGTTTCCTGAGAGCAAAGACTACATGGGGGTTGTCTATGGTATTAAACTCAGCGTATTGTACAAGGTAGATCTCTGTAAGTATTAGATGGAGCCAAAGTCCACTGCTGAAGCTAGAAAGGAATGGAAAAGAACTGAATACAGAATAATTTGTGGTCCTGTCTCACACAGTGCCAGAACCTGGGAAAGCTCACTACAGTTCAGATTGGCCATGATAACTCCGGACTGTTAGCTAAATGGCTAGTGGATTGTGTCATGGTCAGAAATGAAATCACAGGACATACGTACAGGTGAGTAAATGAACTTAGCATAATTCTTTGTTTCAAAGCTCTTTTTTTTTTCTTAAAGACTTGTTTATTCATTTTATGTATATGAGTACACCATTGCTCTCTTCAGACACACCAGAAGAGGGCATCAGACTCCATTGCAGATGGTTGTGAGCTACCTTATGGTTGCTGGGAATTGAACTCAGGACCTCTGCGAGAGCAATTAGTGCTCTTAACCACTGAGGCATCTCTCCAGCCCCCTGTTTCAAAACTCTTTTTTTTTTTTTAATTTCCTCCCCTTCCCTTCTCCCTCTTGCTCCAGCCCTGCTCGCTCCTGCTCAAATTCCACTATAGCTGTCTTCAGACACCCATATGAGGGCATCAGATCTCATTATGGATGGTTGTGAGCTGCCATGTGGTTGCCGGGATTTGAACTCATGTCCTCCTGAAGAGCAGTCGTTGCTCTTAACCACTGAGCCATCTCACCAGCCCCAAAACTCTTTAGATAACAAAAGATTTTGATTTTCTTCCAAAATGTTTTTTCCCACTGCCTCCTGAATGAGGTGTTGGGGCGGGTAGTTATATTATTTTATTCTATTTGTAAGACATAAAATTGGCCAGGTGTGGTTAGGTACACACCTTAAATCCCAGCACTCAGGAGGCAAAGAGAGGCAGACCTCTGTGACTTTGAAACCAGCCTGATCTACAAAGCAAGTTCCAGAACAGCAGGGCTACATAGACAGAATAATAATAATAATAATGTTGGCAAAAATGCTAGGTGACCTAGGTTCAGATCTCAGCATCTACCTCAGGTAGCTCACAGCTCCAGAGGATCCAATGCCTTCTACTGACCTCCAAGGGTATGCACATCTGCATGCGTATGCACACAAGCACGCAAATACAGGCATATGTACACATGAATAAGAAAAGATACTTAATCTTTAGTAAAAAACAGATTGTGGAAGCTGGAGAAATGGCTCAGTGGTTAAGGGAACTTGATGTTTTCAGTTCCCAGCACCCACATAACAGCTCATAAGTTCCAGAGATCCTGTGCTCTATATAGACACAGACACACACATGGCACACAGACATACATGCAAACACTCATACACATAAAATAATAATTTTTTAGTTTAAAAATATGTCTAAGTATGATTTCCGTGTCTAAGTATGATTTCCATGTAGCACTCGTGTAGACCAAGTTCTACCTTCCCCTGCCTCCCAAGGGCTGGAATTAAAGGCACATATTGCCACACCTAGATGCTCTCTACTTTTCTGTATGTTTGAATTTTTTGTGATTAAATAAAAAATCCTTGGGTATTAACACCATGGACTTCACCAATAACGCCATTGTTAAACTTTTACTTAAAACTGTTGGCAGCCAGGCATGATGTCACTTACACCTATAACCCCAATAACTCCATAAACTGAGGCAGAACGTTGCCTGGAGTTAGAGACCAGCCTGATATCCTCCACGTAATAAATTCTAGAACAGCCTTAGCAACTGCGTAAGACCCTGTCTCAAAATGAAAACAAAACAAAAACTTTGATTTTAGAAATATAGATTCATGGGAATCTGGAGACCAAAGGGTAAGTTCACAACAACAAAAAAAAGTAGATTTGAATGATTTTAAATCAAATTATTTTCTTCCGACCCTACCAGATTCCCTTGTGGGCGGTGGCTGGGGAAAGGCGTCGATGATGGCAGCCTGGAGAGAATTCTTATTGGAGAATTGATGACATCAGCTTCAGATGAAGACCTGGGAAAGCAGTGTCGGACTCCACCACAGCAGAAATCTCCCACCACAACCAGGAGACTGAGTATTACCTCACTAACGGGAAAGCCGGCCAGTGAGTTGTTTGCAGTGTACCTCAGATATGCAGGCTCTGTGGCTCATTTTCCAGAAAATGGTTGTTAATGAGTTATGGTGAAGAGATTAAAAACGAAGGGCTGGGGAAATGACTCAGAAGGTAAAGTGCTTTTCTTCCCAAGCAAAAGCAACTGAGTTTGATTCCCAGTGTCCATGGGAAAGGCTTCGGGCCTGCATCTGTAAGCTGGTGCTGGGAGGTATGGGGACAGGAATGCATAGAACTCACTGCCCAGCCAGCCTGGCCACATTAATGAGCACCAAGTTCAGTGAGAAACCCTGGCTAGAGAGACGGCTCAGCAGTGAAGAGCACATACTGCTCTTCCAGAGAACCTGAGTTCCATTCCTAGCACCTACATCAGGCAGCCCACAACCACCTGTAAGTCCAGCCTAGACAGATCACACCTCTGGCCTCTGCAGGCAAAATGTACTCATAAGTACTTACTTGACTCCAAATGTATATATTTATATTTATATAAAATAAATTTTAATAAACAATATTTGGCCTGGCAAGATGGCTCAGCAGTTAAGAGCACTGACTGCTCTTGCAGAGGACCTGAATTCAATTCCCAGCAACCACAACATGGTTCACAACCATCTGTAATGAGATCTGATACCCTCTTCTGATTTGTCTGAAGACAGCTACAGTGTACTCATATAAATAAATATTTCATAATAATAACAATAATAATAAATAAATAAGATTCAAGGAGTTGTTTGGAGAGAAAAATCAGTAAGAAAGAAACAGAGAGAGAGAAAAAGAAGGTGAATAAAATTAGGAAGATGGCTCGCACGCGCACACACACATACACACACACACATTCTCTCATTCCACCTTTTATTTTTGAGACTCTGTCTCACTATAGCTGGCTGGCTGGCTGGCATTCACTATGTAGACCAGGCTGGCCTTGAACTTACAGATATCCATCTGCTTCTGCCTCTGAAATACTAGGATTAAAGGTATGTGCTGCCGGGCAGTGGTGGTGCATGCCTTTAATCCCAGCACTTGGGAGGCAAGAGGCAGGTAGATTTCTGAGTTCGAGGCCAGCCTGGTCTACAGAGTGAGTTCCAGGACAGCCAGGGCTATACAGAGAAACCCTGTCTCAAAAAAAAAAAAAAAACCAACTTCCTTTTCCTTTTAAATATTTGATTTGGCTTGATTTTATTTGTATGTTTGTATGTGGGGGTATCCTTGGAGGCCAGAAGAGGGTATTGAATGCCTTGGAACTGGAGTCTCAGGCAGTTGCAAGGTGCACATACATATGCCATTTTGTTTTGTTTTGGGTTGGGTTGGTTTTGCTTTGCTTTGCTTTGCTTTGCTTTGCTTTGCTTTGCTTTGCTT